ACAACCTCTGCCATGGGAGGAAGATGGGGCAATCCCATACTAAGATTTAAGACTTCTAAAATTAAATTATTAAAAAGCACTTATTTTAAAATTGGCCAAGACGTTTATAGAAGTTACCGTCTTTTATAACAGGTCTATCTAATATTTAGTATACCTAAAAAATTTTAAAATGTTACCTATATTGTAGAGTTCGCAGACTTGCGAAGAAGGCATGTCAGGAACGTTTTCTGACCAATTCATTGTGGGCTGACTGTTTGGTTTCTATTTAAATGTTATTAAACCGTATACATTGGTATGCAATATAATTAATTACATGTTTGTAATTAGCAGAGTTTTGTTTTAAATTTTGTAATTTTTGTAGGTTCTACCGAACACCCGCTTTATAAAGTTAATTTTTGATTGGTTTAGAGAGGATTGCCTCCTTTGTTCTCATTGGCCGAAAATTCTCTGTTTACAAAATAAGGAGGTCAATCCGGTTTTGTGATAATTTGCAAATTTTCTTAATTTTCGGATTGACCTATATCGACAAGTTTGTCGCGCGAACGTGATAGAGATTTAGCAGGTGCCCGTTGCATCCAATGTATACGTGTTTTTACCAACTCTATTTTCGTAAATTTAAAATACTTTTCGTCTCGTTTAACATCATTATATGTGGTGGTTGGTCCATCTATCCGATTCTGATAAAGGTTTGAGTGATTTATTAGTGCGTGGTCCGCGAGCTCACATTTTCTCCAGCAAAAAGATGAATATATTAAGATATAATCAATGCCGTAAAATGAAACTTTACAAGATAAATACAAGGTAGTCTAACTAGACAAAACTTTTTGATATATAAGGTTAAGACGCGAACATATAAACAATACGCGAGGGGTAGTTGCCTAAGCTATATACTACAGTATAGTATACTGTACGTGAGTTTGGATAAATATTTTATATTTTAAATTTTTGAGTCAGTGCACAGCCATTGTATAAAGTGTACATAACCTATTTTTAAGTGTTTATTTTTAAAAGTGGCCCTAATAAGTGGCCGTGAAACGGTGCTATTATGAAGTTTATTTATCTACTTATTTTGTAATTTTATTGCTATGTAATTTTAATTGAATAATTTCTTAAATAGGCTGTGCACTAAACTATTTTTACCATACAGTCTCATGGTTATTATCAAAATTGGGAGGTGCTGGCTACAGATTACCCATAATGTCAAAAAAGACTCCATATTGTATATATCCCTTTGCCCCCCGCCCCGTGTTATTTTTATTATCTATCTTTTTTATTCCTGTATATATATAACTAGTATCCTTAATACTAGTAAACGTGAACCCGTGCCCCCATATGGAGCAATACGTTTATCACGGGTTCACTCAAGCATGAGATTTTCTTAAATATGTTACATAAAGACTATCTCATCACATTATGGGTAACCAAGTTATTATTATTAGCCATATTTGGGACTTAGATTTTTTCTTATTCTTCTATGAATTGTTTAAGTAATAGAAGATTAATTATTATGTGTGATATCTAGATGCATAATAATTTATAGACCATGAGACAGTGATAAATAGATAAGGCCGTTTCCACCACATTGCATCCAATGTATACGTGTTTTTACCAACTTTATTTCAAAATTAAAACAAATATGAAAGTTAAAATGTGGTGGAAACGGCCTTATCTATTTATCACTGTCTCATGGTCTATAAATTATTATGCATCTAGATATCACACATAATAATTAATCTTCTATTACTTAAACAATTCATAGAAGAATAAGAAAAAAAAATCTAAGTCCCAAATATGGCTAATAATAATAACTTGGTTACCCATAATGTGATGAGATAGTCTTTATGTAACATATTTAAGAAAATCTCATGCTTGAGTGAACCCGTGATAAACGTATTGCTCCATATGGGGGCACGGGTTTCACGTTTACTAGTATTAAGAATACTAGTTTATATATACAGGGAATAAAAAAAAAGATAGATAATAAATAACACGGGGCGGGGGGCAAGGGGATATATACAATATGGAGTCTTTTTTTGACATTATGGGTAATCTGTAGCCAGCACCTCCCAATTTTGATAATAACCATGAGACTGTATGGTAAAAATAGTCTAGTGCACAGCCTATTTTAAGAAATTATTCAATTAAAATTACATAGCAATAAAATTACAAAATAAATAAATAAATAAACTTCCATAATAGCACCGTTTCACGGCCACTTATTAGGGCCACTTTTAAAAATAAACACTTAAAAATAGGTTATGTACACTTTATACAATGGCTGTGCACTGACTCAAAAATTTAAAATATAAAAATATTTGTCCAAACTCACGTACAGTATACTATACTGTAGTATATAGCTTAGGCAACTACCCCTCGCGTATTGTTTATATGTTCGCGTCTTAACCTAATATATCAAAAAAGTTTTGTCTAGTTAGACTACCTTGTATTTATCTTGTAAAGTTTCATTTTACGGCATTAATTATATCTTAATATATTCATCATTTTGCTGGAGAAAATGTGAGCTCGCGGACCACGCACTAATAAATCACTCAAACCTTTATCAGAATCGGATAGATGGACCAACCACCACATATAATGATGTTAAACGAGACGAAAAGTATTTTAAGTTTACGAAAATAGAAGAGAATAAACCTTTTATTGTACACAATAGTTGTGACCAATCATATTGTTGTATTTCTGTTAATTTGTGTTAATTTGAGAATACTTCAATTTCATTGGGTTGTTGGAAAATACCATAGAAGAAAATATGAAAAAATTTCCTTCGCGAATACCTTATTTTTATGAGCCCATAATTTTATTGATGGGGACATATTTATAAAAGAAACCATTTTTTCTACAATGTCCAGCATTATTATTTAATGAAGAAGTGTTTGGTTTTGTCAGATCTTATTCAAATTATTTAAGATCTGATACCCCATTTTCTTCTTTTCGTGTTGGATAGAAAATGAGGTGAATTAACCTATTGGATACGTCAATTTGTACATTCGATAAATTTTTATTCTGATATTGAAATAACTTGAAAATTGTTTTTCTTAACAATGTACGTTTATATGTATTAAATGATAAAATATTCAAAAACATTATATCTGATCTATACAATCAGATCTGATATGTCATTTTCTTCTTTCGGTGTCGGGAAAGATAGAAAATCTAAATTTGAAAATGTGATACAAAATGCTGTATATGTAGTAATTAATACATTAAAGGGCAAAATAGTCTATAGTTATAGATCTTGTATCACTATAAACTGAAATAACGTCAATTTTTAATTAAAATATTAACCATTTAGTCGAAAATCTACTTTATCGTTTTTCATGCCGAACAGAGGATTTGATACGTGCTCTCTCATTGGTTGAGAGCAATTGTCTCCTATGCGGCCATTGGTCCATTTACTATCCGATTCTGACTTCAAGCTCAAGACTTTGACCTATGACCCCCTCAGGAATGTGGATAAACAAAGATTTTTTACATTTTTGCTGTACACTAATGGTAGAGGGCTTTTTGGGACCCTAAATTTATAAATTAAAAAAATTTTGATTTTTTAAGATATAAAAAGTAAAATACATTTAAAATAATTGCCACTAATCCTTATAGATAAATTGGTAACACAATTATATTCATTTTACCTTATTAATTTGTTTGAATTCATTCGGGTTGAGAGTTTTTAAAGGTATACTTTTAGATTTGAATCAAATAATTAATTGCTGTTGGAATTTGCCATGAATACAGCTGGTAACGGGTATTTTCCCGATGTAAGGCCAGTCCACACGCTCAGGTCAACCCGTACCAAAACTGTTATTTATAAAAATATGTTATGAAAAGAAGAACAGATGGAACTATGTTTGATATTTCAAAATTTATTGACAAGGGAACCTGGAGTCAACCAGAGCTCCTCCCCGGTAACGTAGGATACTAGTATCCCCCCTCCCTGTTGAGACAGGGCGCCGCCGGGGTGCCCGAGACAGTCTTCTGCCGTCCTTCCCCTGATGGAATGGGCTGAAGGACAGCATAGGCTGTCTCTGAACCCCTGCCTTACCATAAATGACGACAATAAGATAGTGCGATGACGACAATGCGACAGTGCGATGGCATTGTCGCCATCGCACTGTCGCATTGTCGTCATCGCACTGTCGCATTGTCGTCATCGCACTGTCGCACTATCGCATTGGCGCCCTATATATTTTAACGTATAACTACGAATGCCCTAACGGTATTCCGTAATATATACATGTAGCTGTAACTGGTATTAATTTACACTTATTTATGATATATTGAGCAATATTCGTAAAATAAAATGCGTATTTTCATTTTCCCTATTTTTCACTATAAATAAAAGTTATTTTTCACGGCAGTGAAACATATTTTACGTATTTTCACTGGTGACTCGCCGGACAATTTTCTTTTAAATTCTGCTAGAACACAAAATTTTAGAGAAAGACTTTCAAATTGTAATGTCTATAATGTCAAAAAAAGAGAAAAATATGTATATAATAAACAGAAAATTTAAGTTTTTTTTATATAAATACATGATTTATTTTCATCTTGTGACATGAAAATTATCATGCCACTCTATGAAAATAAATCATGTATTTATAGGGAAAAAAACTCGAATATCCTCTATTTACAGCTAGAATAACCTTGTTTCATTATACTATATTTTATTTAAACTAATAAACTGTTTTGTACTTCTTCCAATAAGGTCACGTAAATAAAAAAGCGCTAAAAGTAGGTATATCAGATAACACCAGAACCAAGCCAATATCCGTCGAAATTGCGTGTACAAATAAATCATCATTCAATAAGACTTATACTGACAAAGAGAACATCGTGAATTTACACTGAAGTTATTATATCAACTATAAAGCATGTATTGATTAATATATACTTTTCATTAAGTACATATTAAGAACGAGAAAGTATGGTATTTACTCAACCAAGTTTTGTTTCTGTCCTTTTCATTTTTGCAGGAGATTACCTACCAATTTATCAAAGAGTTTCATCTTGAATCTTCGAAAGAAGAAGTAGTCGCCATGTTTGTTGTCAAGTGCTAGGCCAGCATATTCTTCTTCAGCATCGAAACCAAACGAATGGAATTTCTTGTTCTGGTCAAAGAGAACACATGTGGGTGTCTTCAATGACATTAGATTCCCGGATACCCATGTGTTTGCACATACCTTAATGAAGAATACATATTTTTATATCAGTCTATAAATACATTGTGATGATTTAAGAGCTAATGGTCAATCTGGCTTTTTTTTTTGATAAATAAATAGAACTATATGTATTTTGAAATGAATATTAAATAAATCGTAGATATTTCCAATGACAAGAAGTTTTCCGGCAGTCAATGTGCTGGACCATACCTAAATAAAGAACAACGTCAGATTTTTGTCTTCAACAATCTGTCAGCATTGTTTCCCCCTTGTTCGAAGATCTAATTTACAATTTCATTTAGTCTAAGCACTATTTCTTGTACAATGTTTGCATAAATAACATAGGTTACAGTTATCATGTGCGACATTTTAGAAAATGTTTATAGAGAACTTATAGAATTTAGACGTCTGAAACGTATAGGGTATTCAGATTTTATAATTATTTTCGAAAAAATTGTCACGTTTACAACTAATCTAACTATTTTATTTAGTTAATGTTTTATATTACTTACCTACAAACTCGTCTGAGCGTTCATTAAATTCGGTTGTTACAAACATTAATTCCTTTTCATGCTAAATGTGTATAATGAATTAGTCAAGTTTGAATTTTGGATGTTAGTAAATATTTTCAACATTGCTTCCTTTCAAATCATATCACTATAATATCATGTATTATGAAAACCACCGAAAATATCAATATAACAATCATATCAAACTTTCATATTATGGTTGAAGCGTTAGTGTTGCAAAAATGCCTATTAAATATAACACATCAAAAATCAAAAATTTGTTAAAAGTGCTAGAAACTCGGTGCTTTAAAAGTTACAATTACCTTGGAGCGGTTTCCTTATTTGTGATCGTGTCTTGTGGAAAAGGCCCAACCGGAATATGCCGTACCAAAAATCTAATAGCCGCAGCAAACTAAGTAGTCCTGACTTTTGAGCACTCGTCGGCCTTAAAGGCTAAAATGATAATTCCATTACTTGTAAATTTTAAAACAATTGAAACACGTCGAAAGAAAGAAAGAAAGAAAGAAAGAAAGAAAGAAAGAAAGAAAGACAGAAAGAAAGAAAGAAAGATTAAGAAAGAAAGAAAGAAAGATAAAGAAAGAAAAAAAGAAAGAATAAGAAAGAAAGAAAGAAAGAAAGAAAAAGAAAGAATGAAAGAAAGACATTAATAAATATGAATGAATGAATGGATATATGATTGAATGAATGAATGAATGAATGAATGAATGAATGAATGAATGAATGAATGAATGAATGAATGAACAACGAACGAATGAAACAAATTTATTCAATAAATAAATAAATAAATTGATAAGATTAAATGTTTTAGATAAAAACGACATATAAAATTTACCTCTTGCAGCAACGAACATTGTCAGTGATTTTTCGCGAGGAATAATTACCTTCCCGTATTTTATTTCGATTCCAAGTATTCAGTCTATTTTGTCCAA